GAAAGGAAAAAAGAAAAAAAGGAAGGAAGGAAGGAAGGAAGAAAGGAAGGAAGGAAGAAAGGAAAGAAGGAAGGAAGGAGGAAAATGAGGCTTCAGAGACAGCTCAGTTGGTAAAGTGCTCACTATGCCAACATGAGAACTTGAACTCAACCCTTAACATTTACAAAAAACATCTGGACAGAGTGGCACATGCTGGGAATCCCACCACTGGGCAGATGGATACAGATGGTTCCCTGGAGCTTCCTGGTCCAACAGCCTAGCCTAATCAGTAAGGTCCCAAAGAGAGAACTTGTTTCAAAAACAGTGGATGGTTCTTGAGAAATGACACCCAAGATTGACCTCATTTTTGCAATTTTAAAAATTATTTTTGTTGCGTGTGCTTATGTGCACATTTGAGCATGCATGGCCATATGTTCAGGTGTAAATGCCCATGTACCACAGTGGAAATCAGAGGACAGCTTAGAGAAATAAGTTATCTTCTCTTACTATGTGGATCATGAACATGGATGTTATGTCATGTGACTTGGTGACATATCTGTTGAGCTGTCTCTCTGGCTCCAATTATTCTTTTTTTTCTTTTTTCTTTACTATGAATTTACTTTCAGTGACTATTAATTATTTTATTATTATAGAAGTACATATTCATAACAATTGTGTGGTTAAAATAAATAATCCATTGCAAGAGACAATCCCTGGGTACATATTGAATATTACTTTTCAACATATTCACCTGGTAGACAGATATTTAATAAATAACAATTGTGTACAAAACTGTTGTATTGAGGTTAGTTGGGCACAGGTGAGTTATACTAGCAATTTAGATAGAAGAGCCTGCTTAGAATGAGGGATTGTGCCAGCATGCAGACTTAGACAGGAACCAAAGTTATAATAGAGTTACTGAAGAAAATAAAAAGGGAGCATACTTGTTCCTACAAAGAAATCAGATAAAATGGGATGTCAATAGCAGGTTGAAGTTGGGCAATTTTAAATTTTATTCATATAGTAATTTGCTTCAACTATGCTATGATAAGCACTGTGCAGTATGGTAGATGTGGGTGCCTTTAGTGAGCTTGTCAATTGCCCTCATTTGAGAGAACTACTTTAAGAATTTGGTGACTTCACAGAGCAAGACCTGGTTTCAGAATCAGTAACAAAGAGGTGTCACAGCATGAAAGTGAGCAGGTGTGGGGAGGGCTGGGGTAAGAGGTCGGTTAGGAGAAGAGACAGGATTTCACACTCTCAGATGAACAGGGTATAAGGAAGGACAGGCTCCATTGCTCACGTCAGCTGTGCCCTGGTTCAGGGCAGAACCTGCTGCCTTCTTTCTCCCCACTCTAGAGAGGAAACTGATTCAAATAACACTTTACACGGAGAGTTCATTTTATAGAGCTTCACTGTCCTATTCCCCATGTTTCACATGAAGGGCCCTCCTGAGACTTCAGAGAGCTTCCTTAAATTCTTGCTGTGGTGAAGTCCTATGTCAGTGACTCAGTGTGATGGAGGATTTTTCTCTAACCATAAACATGGTGTCAAATTCTTGACTCCTTGATAACTAACCATGGAGAGTAGAAAGGTTACTCAAGGAACTTGACATTTGCTTCTTCAGCACAAGTATATATGAAGATTCAAGTTTGAATTGCTAAAGAGCCGTAATGGTGGATTTCAGGGACAGTGTGAAAGAGAATTTGCAGTGGCTCAAAGAGCCTCAGAGAACCTGCTCAATTAACCTGGGGTAAGCAACCATAAGCAACAACAACAACAACAATAACAAACATAAGAAATCCTGTTTCAAACAGGATGGAAGGTGAAAACAGAAAACAAAAGTGTCCTGTAGCCCACACTCACACATACACCATATGCAGATTTTTCCAGAATTCAATTTTATTTCACATAGATAAAAACAGAAAAATAGGAAGTTTTCCCACATCATAGCACAGGAATTCAATGGAATATATCTTACCCCAAGTAAAACTTTACTACGGTATACCTGAAGTAAGATTTTTGTTCTTCAAAGTAAAGCAAAATAACAAATTATTGTTTGAAATTATTTTAAATCCAGACATAAGCATTTGGCTTTATTATTAACATCCTATCTAATCCGTACCAAATGATCTCCATATCAGTTAATAAAGATGTTTCTTAAAATGGTCTTGGTCAGTTTGAAAATAGCAGGAAAAGCAACAGTTCAGAAATAACCATAATTTTGCAACATATTCAACTGTGTGGTAACTATACACATACACACACACACACATAATATGTATTATTGTAATATATATTATATATATATGGTTCTAATCAGCTCTTTTGTACCCACAAATTAATTTAAAATAGTTTTCACCAATTTTCTGGACAAGTTGATGATTTAGAATCAAGTAATAGCTATTTTAATGTTTGCCCAGGAGACTAAATTCTCAAAAATTCTTTTAAATAGACAAAAATTTCAAATAAGTTTGTTATCAGATAAAACAAAAGTTTCTGATTGCTCATCTTGAATAGTGTTTGATTTCAGGCAAAACATATGTACAGAAAATGTAAACTTAAACTCTGCTGTAAGATGTAACTCTTTTAGAACTTAGACTTCAAGACTGGTCTTAAGTATTTACTTATAAACATGCCAAGATACTATTTACCTTTTTTTTGCAGAAAAATGAAACCACAAAATTATTACCAGGACTGAAAATTTTGATAACTCTACCATCTAATGTTGGAATACAATGCATTATTTGAAATACATAAGCTTAATTAATATTTGGTTTCTTTGCACATTACCTAGATTTAAAATACTCTATGTCTATGTTTCAAAATGTGAAATTATAGTATATGTTGATAGGTTTTTATTGTGGCAGAGAGGCAATATTAGTCTTCTATGGAAAATCAAGAAAGAAAGAACCTATTTTTCTTTCTTTCTTGGGAGTAGAAAAATTAAATAGAAGAAAAAAGAAAAGCCTGATGCCCCCAATAAAAGGGTGATTAGTTGAAGAGAGCAGTATTACTTTTTTGACACTTAAAAGCATTCTCCCTGGTATCGGGTATAACATAATACCATCTAATTCTTAGTATTACAGTCACATATGTATATGCACACATATAAAAATACAGGCACTGCATGGCAACTAGATACCTAAGTCAGAGCATTAGCAAATCACTGACATCCTAACAGCTTGTTTAGACCTGAACAAACTATCAGTGAGTAAACTAGTAATTTTTAAATAATGTGGTAAAACTCTGGTTGTGGTATTTTATTTCACTGAATTAATTTGAGGGGGGAAAGCTAGCTGCTTCACTTCATTTATTTTAATACTGGTACATTCTGGATTGTATAATACAAATATAGGTATAGAAGCTTAAAAGGATCTTACATTTTCTATGAGGGAAACATCACTTAGTCTGTATCTTTGGTATGTATTTGTAAAACATTTTAACTCTGTAAACATTAGAAGTTTTATGATCAGGAATGGGAAAATGTTTATACTCTACTACAGTGATGCTGGTGGATGTCTACACAAGACCTCTTAGAGATGTCAATCAATTGGAGGTAGGAGTTTAATCAATGAATTGCTGCAGACATGAGCTGTGCATCATGTCTTCAGATTTTAAATTTTATTTGGCTAGATTCACCAATGCTTTTAGTTTGTCAACAGTAAGAGAACCAAACATTCGGGGAACTAAAGGGTCACATCTTCGTGGAACTGGAGAATAGAAATATCTCTGTAAGCTCTCTGGATAGGATCCTGTGGAAACCAATCCCAAAGTGGAAGCCAGCGACCGAGAGAGCAGTGTTGCTGGCCAGTTTCTGCTGTGTGGTAAGAGCGGTGGATTATGAGTACCACCCTGAGAAATTCCCCTAAAAACCATTCTGCTAGAAGGAATTCCAGTCTTCATCTCTCGATTTATCACAGCTTTTACATTTTCTGCTGCCTGTTTAGTTCCATATTTATCCTCCTGGGAATCTGGTGAAAGTCCAGTAATATCAAACCAAGAAGGCATAGCTGTATTCAAATTTAATGTAACAAGCATAACAGGCACATGTGGACAGATGCATTTCATGTGGGAACTTTTGATACCTGCAAAGCCTTCTGCCCATCCATGCCCAGTAATTCCCATCTGTGAAGGAAAATTACCACAGTGGTGGCCTTCTGGGCAGTGGGCAGTGGGGTGGGCATGTTGTTGCCACACATCCATGGGCTGGCAGACAGTACCCACCATATAAAAATGTAATGGATTGCTTTTAATTATTTTATTTTTATTGAAAAATGATTTTTTTCTCACATAATTCTGACCACCATTTCCCTTCCTGATACTCCTCCAAATTTCTCCCCACCTCGCCTGCCATCCAGATCCACCATTTCAGATAGTGACTTAAGGTCCACTCCACAGGATGGAGTAGTTTGTTTCCCCAATAAAACTCCCTTGGAGAAAACTAAATTTTCACTTGTAAGTGGTTATCAATTGGAGTCGATTCTGGATTAGGGATGGGGTCATGTTTTCACTTCTCCTTTCAGTTCTAGGATCCCAGCTGTTACAGACTTGTGCAGGCCCTCTGGATGCTTGCCTCAGTCTCTATGAGTTCCTATGTGCATTGATTCTGTTGATTAGCAGGGCCTTATTTTCTTTCTTTTTAAAAATTTTTAATGTTTTTTATGTGCATTGGTGTTTTTGCTTGCATGTATGTCCATGTGAGGGTGTCTGATCCCCTGGAACCAGAGTTACAGACAGTTGTGAGCTGCCATGTAGGTCCTGGGAATTGAACCAGGGTCCTCTGGAAGAGCAGCTCTGGAAAAGCAGCCAGTGCTCTCAACCTTTGAGTCATCTCTCCAGCCCCAAAGAGGCCTTGATTTCTTGGTGTCCTCTGACTCTTACACTCTTTCTGCCTTGTCTTTGACAATTTTCCTGAGCCCTGAGAAAATGGGTTTGATGGAGACACCCCATTTAGGGCTAACTGTTCCAAAGTCTCTCACTCTCTGCATGATTTCTGGCAATGGGTCTCTGTATTTGTTCCCATCTGCTGCAGGAGGAAGCTTCTCTGATGATGGCTGAGCAAGGTACTGATCTATGAGTACAGCAGAATGTCATTAGGTGTCATTTTATTGCTACCTTTGGGAGGGTATAGAATAGTAATACTTGGTTTTACTGTAGGTTCCCTGGGCTATCTAGCCTCTGATTCTTAGTCACCCAAGCGGTGTCAGTTATGGGTTTCATGCTGTGGAGTGGACCTTAAGTCAAGTCAGATATTGGTTGGTTACTCCCACAAACTTTGTGCCAACATTGCACCAGCATATTTTGCAGGCAGGACACCATTGTAGACCAAAGGGTCTGTGGCTGGACTGGTGTAGAGAGTGTGGAGAGTGACCAATGTTCTTGGTGTTTGAAACTTAATAAATAAAGTTGATATTGATACAGAGTTCAAAAATAATTCTCAGGAATAAGGATACCATATTTACAGTTTTCTAATGAATCATTGCCCTTATCATTCGATTGTGTAGCAATTTCATCCCTAGATTAAGTACCTTACCAGCACCAGGCAATACTGCAAGTAACACATTTCCAAACCCTTCACGGAGTTTAGCATCCAGTGAGTCATTCTGACCCTTATTTTTTTGAATCTCCCTTTGTAGTTGGCTTATCTCTGAATCCATTGCTTCACATTTCCTTTTAAATCCCTCTTTAAGCATGTCTTCTTGGATCTATAAAAAGAAAAATACACTTGGAAAACCATGCGTATTGAAGGTCGGGGCTTGACACTTGCATGTGTCTATCACTCTATCAAAACGTGTTCACTGATGAAGTTGCCTGATTCCTGGATTAGGAGAAATGGCCCCAACAAGCTGTATCCTGTGATTCCTTCAGCACCATTCACAAGAGTGGAGATGTCAGACAAGGAACCTGAACACTATCCCTCTGATCAGTTCGGGGGCCCACAGAGTCTCACCTTCAACTTGTGTGCTAGCATCTCCTCTTGCTCTCTCAGAAGGTTCTTCCTCTCAGTCTCCATCTTCTCATGCAGCTGGGCCATGTTTTCTTTGTAGGTTCTCTCTTGAACTTCCATCACGTGCTGCATTTCCGCCTGTTTCTGTCTCAGTAGCTCCTGCTCCTGCTCCGCCGCCTCCTTCTGAGCCCGCTCAGCTGTCCCACAAGGGTTTGAGAGAAGCGAAACACAGCAGTCAGGACAGAGCTCTCCTTTCTTGGGCTCAGAGACATGGCTGATTTGAAAGATGCAAGAGAGAAGTCTGAATCCTACTCCCCATATTTCCAGAGCGTATTTTGGAACGATGCTAGAAGGCACTTGCAACACTAGCTGAGTGGGACCGTCCGGCCCTCTTAACTTTGGATTAGCAGAGTGTGCAGTCTATGTAGGAAGATCTTCCTGACAGTAAGTCAGCAGGCTTAGCAGAAGCCTACCCATCCCTGTGAGAGCCAAGTCCTTCCATATACCTTCCATGGCCTTCTGTCCCTCAGTGAGAGCTTTGTCTGACTGTAAGATGGAGTCCTCTATGGTAACCTGTGACTGTAGGAAGCTCTGAAGGACATGATTTGCCTAGAGAAACAAGAAAGTAAAATTTTCAGGTCACGAAAACACACTGTTGCCCTTAAAGTCCTGAACAACTTCTCATCCTTCTTAAAACCCTTGTTTCCTTCCTTTTCACAGCAGTAGTTCAAATCTCTTCTGTAATTTTTCAAAACCTTATGTGGCAACCCTCTCCCAAGTCTCTCCTTCCAGATAGTGTTCCACTTCTCAGGCCAGGTTACAGTCCTGGAGACCTAGGCAGATCCTGCAGATCCTCAAAACTGCCCTCTCTGTTGTTTAATACACTCACACACTTCCTGTCTGCTAGAATCCTTGTTGTGCTTTTATTATCCGGGTAGGCACCCATTGATAATCCATCTTTGCTCTGCATCTTTTTTCAGAGAAAGCTTCACTAAACTGTCTTCTGAAGTTTGCATGGCTGCTAAATACACTGAGCTGCCCTACCTGTTCTTCTGTGGCCTGACCATGCATCAGCATCTCAGTCATCCCATTTCACAACTCTTAAATGTGCACAACAGTAGTACCTTATTATACCCTTATTCTGAGGATTGAATTGTAGCTTCCAAAGTGGCATGCACTTTCAAGTTACTGATGGTATCTGTCATATAATGGAAGGTATTAAAATCTGGGCATGGTGGCTCATGTCTATAATCCCAGCACTGAGGAAGCTAAGGTTGCCGGATTGCAAGTTCAGTGACAGTCTGGCCTTGTTCCACCAAGAATCCATTTCAAAACAATATAAAGGGAAATAAAACCTAAAAAGAGGGTGTTGGCTATGTGAACATCATTATTATTGCAACCACCATGATAGTAATTGCACCATTATGTCTGCTTTCTGCTTGTGCCAGGATAGTTCTTACTCCAATGTATCCAACTGACTATTTGTGAGGCAAGAGCATCAGTATCTCATGGACAAATATGTCTTTGATCTTCAAATCTCACTATTTAGTTTAGAAAAAAATTGCCTTTTTTAATCAATGGAAAAAGTTACTATATTCTAGTTAGGATTAGAAGAGTATAAAGGAAAGACTAATTTTATGACTTCATTGAAAAAGAAGATAGAGAGATATGGGGGATATTCTCCTCATATCATATATGTGTGTATGTGTATGAAAATTTCTTAATATAACACAGTACCATGTACAGTATATAAAATGAAATATATATACAATGAAATTTTTAAATAAATACATAAAAATAATAACTCTGGATACAAAAAAGGTGGAAATGCATAGATAGATGTGTTCAGCCATCTCCTCATGAACAGTTCAATTCTAAGGAGGAAGGATTCTTCCTGGTAACCCTGAGACCCACCTCCCTGTTGCTCGTTCCTCACCTTCACTCCCTTCCTGGGCACTTGCTCATAGCCCTGCTCAACCTTCTTCCTGGCTTCTAAGTAGAGGCTGTGCCCACCAGGAACAGAGAAAGCTCCACGTGAGACGCTCTCCCTCAGGGGCTCTGCCAGCTTCTCCAGCTTAGCCTGGCAGAGACGGAGAGATTCTGCTTCGTTCTGTTGCATGAAAGTTTCCTTCCTTTTCTCTAAAGTGATCTACAAAGGGATTGTAGAGATACAAGAATTGGAAGCTGTTAGAAAATGGATCCAACTGTGATCTTGGGGGAAATAATAGACATGGATAGGGAAATTACACTATAAATCAGGAAACTCTGTTCAGTACCATGTCTGAGCAACTGTATGAGTAACCATGGAAATTCCATGCCCTTCCAGTGGCCAGGCTCATTGTGAAATAATAAAGTCTAGCTGCAGGACCTTTGGCTCTTCCAGCAGCAATGAGATTAAAAGCGAACAATTCACCAGCTGAAAAATGGGACATGGTTGGCAGGAGCATTTCCTCCAAGAATTAATATGGAGGAAAATGTATCTGTAAAAGAACAACTCACACAGTGACTGGAACTTTGTATAGGTTCAGGAGCCCTTCATCCCCTCCATGGAGAATACGGGTGTGTGGACATAGAATAATTATAAATTACAGTCCAAGGGATTCTCCTGCTTGAGTCATGAGGCTTTCCAGAGCTTACAGGTGAGAAGTGAACTCAGTTTACATCTTCCTTCAGTCTCCTGAGCAGAGCACTCCAGCCTCCCTGCACTATGCTTATAATCTACAAAATTGAGTTAATGCATATGTGCTGTTCCGTGTTGACACATTCATTGGACATTCTTGTGCACTGATGAAAAAAATAATCAAGTCCCTCACTTTTGATCCTGTGGAACTCTCTCACTCACAAGAATCCAGATGAATGAAAAGGTCAAAATGGCAGCCATTAATCAACACTCCTGAATGTGGGTATCAAGAATAAAAAAGACAAAAGACACAGACACAGTACCACCAACTTCTTCTGGAACTGCTGATTATCATCCTTGAAGGAGTGCTCCATGAAGACAGCAATGGCTTCCTTCTCACAGGCTGTGTGCACATCCAGCAGCTCCTGGAGCGTGTCTGTGGGAAGCCTCACTCGCTGGGCCATCTGCTTATTGTAGTGGTCAACCGCCCTCTCCACAGCTGCAGAGTTCTCACGCTCAGCCAGAGTGGTCACTGCATTCTCCAAACAAGGAACTGCTCCACTATTGATGGAATTCACATAGGTCGTCACCAGAGTTGCCAGTCCTGACCAAGGCAGGGAATTTAAGGTTAAATATCAAGCTAACTTTTGTTAATTTCACATGATTCATGAATCAGCAATGAAGTATTAAATTACTTAGGCAATAAAATTTCATGTATGAGAGGAAGCCTGTTTTGTTGGACCCTGCCTCAACTGAAAGTGATAACGTTTTTTTTAAAAGCATTCAAGAACTTCAAGCCAATAACAGAACATTATGTGAAGGAGCAGCTCTTTTGAGTATGGGCTTCATGTGACTGGACAAAGCCATTTCATTGAAGGACATGTGTATATAAGACAATAGTTAGTTTGTGTTGGGGGTTGTGTGTGTATGGTTGCATGTATTTGTGTGTGTGTGTGTGTGTGTGTGTGTGTGTGTGTGTGTGTGTGTGTGTGTGTAGAGGCCAAATGACAACCATTGTGGCCTCATTTTAATTTTATATTTCACTGAGACAAAGTCTCTCACTGGCTGGAAGTAGGCAAGACTGTCTGGGCAGCAAGCCCCAATAATCTGTCTGCCTCTACTTCACCAGTTACAGGTGTGCATCTCCACCCTAAACACTTTTAGGTGGATTCTGGGCATTGAACTCTTGCTTGCAAGCTAAGCACTTTACTGACTGAACCATCTCCTGAGTTCAAAAACAGTGAATTTTATCTCAAACTCTAATGAACTTTTAGGAACCTTGGTCTCTCACATACTTTAGAACTATCTTTTCTAACCAGACAAGCTCTTGTGTCCTTGCACATTTCTTCAGACACAGGTATTCCCTCCTTAACCTCAGTCTTGCTTCTTTGATCATTAGCCATTTCTTAAGATGTATTAGGTTTTAATAAAGCCTATGTTGAGAGGTAATATTTAAGAAAGACAAAATTTTCTGAATAGCATGAACAGCTGTTTCTCTGTATTCATATGAGATACTAATGTTTTATCAAAGTTCTACAACACACAATTTCAAAGTAGAGAGATATCCCTGGGGCATAGGTAACTCACCGTTTTCATTGACAATGATCCCCTCTTTGAAGATCTTGGCTTTTGCATTGGAGAAGATGTAAGAGCAGAATGCTTTCGACTGAAATTGGAAATTGTGATCCAACTGGTCTTCTGGCATTTGCTCAACATGGACTAAGAGTTCTGTTTCTTTTGTAGGTCGATCAAAAACAAAACACTTCTGTTTTGGAAAGAAATGCCTGATGCATTCCCTAGGCATGTTAGAATGCTGAGCTTTGAGACCTCTGCCTGTAAAATATATAAAAGAAATTTGTTCTTTGAAAGGACAGCCTTCAGGCTAAGAACCTGGTGTTTTCATTTCCAGAGAGCTTGGGATCACAGCTGTTCTTCTATCCCTACATCTCCTGTAATCCACCCACATGGCTCTTCATTTGAGCATCTAAGACAGTGATAAATCCATTTATGCTGAAAAGTGAAGGGCAATGAAGCAATTATGAAGATAAAAAGGACAGGTTATCCATGAGATGAGGGCAACTAGTCTTTGGTCTTCCTAGCATTTGCTCCAGACCTTAGTGGATTAAGAATTTAACAAACATTTACTAAACTTATTAACTAATGAAACGAAGGTGTTAGAAGAAGTTTTCTGACTTTCCTATATCCTTGTGAGGAATGCAATTTGGATCTTAAAACAAAGTGATGCAGTAAACAATAATATGCAACCCGGAAAAATGATAGATGACATATGATATTAGGTCATGACAGAAAAACACAACTATCAGCTTCCTGTAGACATAACCATTAATACATTAGGAAATTCTGTGCCTTGACAATTATGATAAGTAATATTCACTTAATATAATGAAAGGACCTCTTCTCTTTCCTAAATCAGAATCTGTTAGTCTTGACTGAGAATTAGAGCAATTCTCTGGCAAACAGGCATTCAATAAATGCTTGTTGAGAGAAAAAGGCAAGAATGAATAAAATTACAGAGAAACCTCTCTCAACAGCTAAATATTGTATATTCATATATATATATATATATAAAATGCCAAATATATTAATTGTGAGGCTGTCAAGAAAAGAGGAGGATGTTATAAGAATCACAAAAGAAAAGATTTGAGTCTTATTGAAAGGAAATATCAATGTTTTTCCTAACTATTCATAATATATACTTTATCTGAAAAAATCTTAAGTAGCCAAATACTAATAAGATATATTGTACAAAAGAATTATAATTTGGAGTAGATCATTTCATTTCATGTGATTTTATGTGATCTGTGTATACACACACACACACACACTCTCTCTCTCATATATATATATATATATATATATATGAGAGAGAGAAAGTTTATATATATATTCATATATATGTGTTTGGGATATATATATATATATAGTTAAGATTAGGCTAAAATATATATCTACATATTATATACATATGTGTGTGCATGTGTGTATGTGTGGAGAGAGAGAGAGAGAGAGAGAGAGAGAGAGAGAGAGAGAGAGAGAGAGAGAGAAAACAGAAATCCTTTATAAGGAGCATAATGTGTGGGGTATGGGCATTATAGAATGTATTACCATCCAGATAACATTTTCAATATTAATTGATTTAAGAACATTTGGTCCAATGTTTAATGCCTCATCATTTCCATTGCATTTAAATTCCAGCAGCTGAAGATTTTCCAGGATAATAACCATGGAAAATGTTCACCAATCACATTTCAGTTATCAGTTTATCACCAGCTTAGAGTTCAAGTCAGGGTGAAAGCAACATTTATGCCAAATACTGAATGAGACAGAGCCTTCCCTCCAAGCCAGGCTCTGATACCTGGAATTAGCTTCAGGGCATTCTCCAGGTACTCATCTGCTGTGATGATGCATCCATCCAACTTCAACTCCAGAACAAAATCCTGAACAGCCCAGACAAAGTCTGGAAACAAACTCAGGAACTCACAGGAGTCATCCATTTCTTCAGATCCTGAAGTGGATTTTGCCCTGATCAGCTCCGTCAGTTCAGTGACATAGCGGGGACCTTAGCTAAGGAATAAAAGGCAGCATTCTACCCTCCCCAGATTTCTCCTGCACACCCATCTTACAAGCACCCTCTTTTGTTCCACATTCCCTTTTCCTAAGTCTTAAGTACTGAGTAACATAAGCAGTATTCTAAGTTGTTACCCTTAAATTAGGGAAACACTGCAGTTTGGTCCGGGAAAGGATACTCCTGCCTCCAGGGCCTGGTGGTTGATGGTGCTCATGCTGTTGTAGACAAAGGTGCTGCTTAGAAGCATGGCCAGGGGAAGATCCAAGAGTCATTCTTAGAGTCACCCTGGAAGTCACATGGGGACAAGGGACTTCAGAATCTAACCTCTAGTCTTTCTCTTGTTTATCTGCTGCTTAAGCAGAAATACAGCAGGACAGTAGGATGAAGAATAATGTTTTGAAGAATAAAAATATCTTACTTCCTTTTCAATATTGAAACTGATCTTACCAGTTTCCATAATCAAAATCAATGACACTAAGCTAGGGTCAACTGAATGTAGACGGGGGCAGGAAGAGGGGAGAGTGGGATCTGTCATTGGTATGTAAAATGAATAAAAAATTTCTTAATTAAAAAAGAATTTTGTATTAATAACAACAATGAGAAAGTTTTTCAAAGGCAAAAAAAAAAAATTCAATGACCTTGTCAAACTCTGCATAATGTTTACTATAGAGCTTAAGCCCAGTATATGCACATTATCAACACACCATTTAATTAACAGGCTATGGATTATATCATATTAGAGGCAGGAATATTTACTCAAATTCAACAATTATTCATGGAACATCTACAAACCATCAGGTATTACATGGAGCTGTGTGAATGCAAATTTTCATATAACAATAGGGACAGGAAGACCTGTAAATACAGAAATGAGGATCATCTGTGCCAAAATAGAATAGAATGCTAGTACATGAAGAAAAATAATCAATTTTAGTAAGTGCAAGAAGGGCTATGTAACTTTAGAGTAATGTGACTGTGTCACTGGGATATGATGGCTATGGGAGAGAAACAGCTTCTCTTTAAATACTTGCTAGTAGATGTAGTTATAGATTTAAATGAATTACACATGTGGGAAGATAAATACTCAGTAAATGAAAAATATTATAAAGCACAGGTCATGTAAGTGCCTTCCACACCTATTTGTTTGACTGAAGCAGTGGCCATTTGGAAACTGGAAGTTGAAACTGGAAGTAAGGTTTGAAGGATGTGTGAAAGGCAGGCAAATAGAATTAGATGCTACCCAAATCTAGAAACTCCAGAGTTGCTGGGTTGTTCTTTATCATCAGGGTATGCTTTGGTGTCTCTCCATTGCTCATGTTCATCATATGGACTTGGTTCTTATTAGACCTGATGTAGGACAACTTCTTTTCAATTCTCTATGTTGATATTCTTAAAAATGCTGAATTTGGATCAATAGAAGCAAAGCTTAGGTCAGACAACAACTTGTTTCTACAAGAATTCATCTTGGTTTAATACAGGGACAGGGTTGGTTTGTAGCTGGAGTTTTCCTGGTCCTCCCTGACCCATGGTCAGGACAAATTTCTCTCATCTGCCAGTTCCACAGCCGCTCAGACCCAACCAAGTAAACACACAGAGCTTACAAACTGCATGACCATGGCAGGCTTCTTGTTTTCTACTTCTTCTATCTTAAATTAACCCAATTCTATTAATCTATACTTTGCCACGTGGCTTGTGGCTTACCAGTACCTTACATCTCGCTTGTCATGGAGGCAGCTGGCAGTGTCTCTCTGGCTCAGCTTTTACTTCCCAGAATTCTCTTCTCTGCTTGTCCCACCTATAGTTCCTGCCTGGCTACTGGCCAATCAGTGTTTTATTTATTAACCAATCAGAGCAACACATTTAACATACAGAACATCCCACAGCATTGGTTACTCAGAATTTTATAACCCATAATGAAATCTTTACCCCTACATCCACAGTAATAGACATCCAAGGCTATTTCTACTACTTACAAGTTAGATTCAAAATTCAATGGCCTCAAAGGTGACAGCTCACCTTCAGGAAGCATTATCCCATCAGATAGCTTCATTATTTGTCTACTTCTATGAACCTACAGCACCTTGTACTGATCTCACAATGTACATCTGCTTCCTCCTGGGCTAATGAGCCTGTGCCTTGCACTGCAGTATAGTATGAAACCCTGGAATTCAGCTCCTCAATACATATTTACTGAACTGTATTATTCAAACAAGAGCAAAGATAGGACTATCCTCCATTACAACAAAGTATCTGAGTTTATCAAAAGAGTGCATTCCCCAAGGAAAGCAGCTTATAATCTCATCAATAACTTGTTTGCAATTCTTGCAACCAGCACAGAAGTTGAACTAAGGTAGCAATCAAATGCTACAACAAAAATAAAGATCAACTTCCCTCACAACTCTCTGACTTACCCTTTCCATATCACCTATACCCTCCATGTCCAGAAGCAATGGTGTGGATTTTGGCTTGGTGGGGTGAGGCACCCACCACTTCCAGATGCCATTAGTTTCAGACCTCACTGTGATGTCCAGATTAAAGTCTGCAAGAGAGAAAATATGCAGACACATGTGAGTCTCCCCTCCTCCATAATTATGTGTGTGTGTGTGTGTGTGTATAAAATTTCATATCAAGAGGCTTTGGCCTCTGTTAGCTCTGGTTCAATTACATGGGTGGGTCAAAAATAATTAACCTACATTATACATTTACAAACCCAAATTTAAACTGCATTGGTAGTATTAGCTTCTGTCTACTCTCATTTTTACTCAGACAACTAAGTTACAATAAAGAAGAAAGTCACAACTGCCATTATTCGAAGTTCAATGAAACATGACAATTTGATCCCTGGAATGATACTTGAGCTGCTACAGGGTCTGGAAGGTAATGGTTCTCATGCTGTTGTAGACAAGTATTTCTCAGAAGTCATTCTTAGGGTCAACCTGGAAGGCAACATGAGAGCAAGGAACAGAGGAATACATTCTTCATTTCTTCTACATTTATTAACTCTTTGAGCTGGGCTTTATGCCATTCAATAGTAAACAAATCACAAAAGTGTGAAGACAACCAAAAAATGTCAAATCGAATTCTGTATATTAGTACTTATCCTCTCAGAACCTCAATTACACTATTACATTTGTGGAAAAGAAAATGACATTCTAACAGTATGAGTGAAATATTTAGTGATATCCATTAGAATACAATACATACAGAACTGTAAATGTTTCTGTAGCAAAATTGCTATATTGGGGGCATACATGCTACTCAACTAAATTCAGCAAACTGTCAATAACTGTTTATAAAAAGCTAGATACTGTATTCATTATACAGATAAATATTTTCATAGGTCAAGAATATGACTTTTTCAGAGACAAACATACAAACATTAATGTAAATAATACAATCATCTGTGGCAGAATTAGAAGATTATAGGATTATATAAAATAAAATGAGTAATTTAGACAAGGGAAACAGTGCTATGAAACTTGAGAGCTGAAAAGATTGTTGACAGATAGGAGTGAGGCTATAAATTTGATGGTAAGATCCAGTACCATCTTAGTTGGGGAGAAACAAAGATTGGTTTTCTATGCTTGGAATTTAGCTGTAAACAAGATGGATATTGATTGATATATATTAATAAACATATTGTAACATACAATATATAGGAGATATATACATACACACATTCCACTGGGTCCATCTAGCATTGCTCATAAATACACGTGCCCAGAATTGACCACTTGTGATTGAACAACTTATGTGGGAGTCCTTTCTTGGAAGAAACTGATTCTCCCTCAAAGCAGCCATTGACTTCCTGTAGCTTTTCATCTGGGAGTGAAATGCAGAATTTTCCCTGTTCATGTTAGGTACTGATTTTGTTTAGGTAACAATATAGTTGTAGTTTCTTATGTGCGTTTTCCTTGTTCTATTTACAGGACACTGTCTGATGGTAGTCCTGGCCCTTTGTATCTTACAATCTTTGTACCCTTCTTCCACAATTTTTTGTGAGCTCTACATGTAGATGTTCCATTGCATATGTATATTTCTGAGTTCTAGGGAAGGAACATATGGATTACAAAGTGATAAGTTGTGAGGGGTTTGTTGTTTATTTGTTTGCTTTTGGATTTTGTTCTTACTGCAGGCAGAAGGACTGAGATAATGAAACCAAAGGCATTCTAATTTCAAGTTTAACTAGAACAAGGGTAATCTAGTATTGTATTTTGATGTGTGCATGAGTTACACATTTTTTTTAAAAAGTACAAGTTAAAGAAATAAGAGCAAACCTGATAGTTATCCACGGGTGGATAGATACTACCCTTTCATATTCATTCCTTCTCTCTGATGTTCCTTACTCACATTTGCTTTTAGGATGCCAGCTATGTAGGTGAACAGAAAGGCCCAGACACAGCTGTGTTGGTGGCACTCCCCTGTTTTCCTCCCAGCCAGCTAGTTCATCAAGTGGGATTTGCCTGTGTGGTAGAGGTCCACAATTGCCACCACCACCACTGAATGCTTGATGGCAGACAGGATCCCAAGGGCCTCCTGGTTAACGACAAGCTGATCCTCAGTGTTCTCAATGAGGCACATGAGCTCCAGCATGTGGATCTCTGAGGCCATGTCCAGCATGTTCTTTAGTCTCTAAGGAGAAGGTAATTGGATAACACTTTCTAGTCAATGAGAGGAACAAAACAGTATGTACTAAAATTTTCCTTCTTTGAAATGTGTTCTTTGCACACTTCTAAAAATTCTGGGGCTCTTTGTGGCTGCCCTATGAGTTGGTCGACTAATTCTATTTAATGCAACTAATCTGAGGTTCATAGATAACCAGAAAAGTTATATAGCAGATTCAAAAGACTGTGTATACCATTTCCCCAGCTTTGTCCAATCAGAGTATCTTACATACCCTCAGTGTAGTAACTGACTAGGCTTTTACCATTTCTACTTCTTAATGAAGCTGCATACAATATACCTCCTCTTTTTCTTAGGTCAGATTTTTACTAATGTCCTTTTCTGCTTTGTGATCTAATCCAGGATCACTCATTCACTCTTACATCTCTTTAGCTTCCTCTCATCTTCAGTAGATCCTTATTCTTTCTTTATCCTTCATTACTTTAGATCTTAGAAGAGTGTATTGCAGATATATTGTAGAGTACCCTTCAGTTATATTTTTCAGTTATTTTCTTAATGCTAATTTGAAATTATATTGGTACACACTAGGCAAGAAGATCACAGGACTGATATTCTACAATCTTCAAAGGATTAATGATTCTAACATGACTTGCTCCAATAATACTCTTTTGAATATGGTCTCTTGGTTAAGGAGCTACCTGCCAAGAACTGCTACTGTTTTATAATCAAAATTACCACTCAAACATCAAATAAATATTTGGAAAAAGTCTAAGATTTTAGTTACCGTGGAAATGCAGGTTAAAAATGTTTCAAGGTTCCCTCTCACGCCACTGAGAATGTGCAGCAAAAAGAAAACTAACAAGTGCTTCCAAGGGTGTGGGAAAAAGAACCCTTATGTGTTGCTGGTGGAAATGTAAAGTGGGCAGCTATGGTAGAAATCAGTTTCCTAAAAAACTTAGAACTACCACGCCCAAATACGAATGTATATATGTATGTATGTATGAATATGTATGTATATGTATGTATATACACACACATATATATAATATAAATTATATATATATATTATATATATAATGTGTGTGACTGAAGAATTATACGGCAAAGATACTTGCATCTTCATATTATTGATTCATTATAGAACTGGCCTAGCTGGCCATCAATAGATGAGTGGAAAAATGAAATCATAGTACACACACCCAGTGGAGATTTATTCAAACATAATGAAGATGAAGTTATATCATTTGCAGGATAGTGGATGGGACTGTAGATCACCATGTTAAGCAAAAGAAGCCAGATTCAGCAAAAGAAGCATTGTATATTTTGTCTCATACATGAAATCTAAATTTAAATATATAGTTAAATATATTTATAAACATGTGTTCAGACACATATAAAGTTAGAAGTGCAAGAATGAGAAAGAAGGAAGAATTCCACATGGAAGAGAGAGATAGTGATGGATGAAAAGAGGAAAAGTATGAGAGGAGAAAGCAAGGCGCAGTAGCACACATATACTCCTAGATGCATGAGTGTGTACATACAAATACATTCACCACACACAATGTTCCATAAAAGCCTGATAGGAAATATTTGAGGAAAGGAAAGGTACCAGGGAATTGAGGTAAGGAGTATACTGGGGAGACAAATATGGGTGAGAAACAATAATATACATTGGATAAAATGTCCTAATGAACCCCATTACATTGTACACTAATTAAAATGTTTTTTAAGTGTGAAAACAAAAACATGGAGAAAATTTTAAGGTTTCCATTTGGAGAGACACTTTTAAAACTCAGCACATCTAACTTTATCATACTTCATGGGCTTTGGCAATTACTTTTAGCATCTACTAATAATCTAAGCTTAGAAATTACCCACTATAACATTAGCTTAAGATGACTGTCTACTCTTAACATGCCACATACTTACTGATTGGAGGTTTACAGCGAGTAGGAGTATTGCTCCTACTTACATTCATTCATTTATTTGGTCGCATCAGTATTGACTCCTAAATATTTATTGTATTCTGTGTGCCTTAGTACTTTGTGATCATTCTTTATTTTAGTGTCTGTCTTGTCCATTTTGTTCACTGAAGCTCCTTCAGCTGGATCCTGTGTTTGGCTGGCAGACTTCCATCACATTCCCAGTGCTGTGGTACTTTCCTCCATTGCCACAACCATGTCTGATGGGAACAGCAAAAGTCATAAAGCCAGCACAGCTGCTTGACAAAGATCCAGCAAAGCTGAGCCACATGATGGCCACCATGCCATCTTTGGTTTTCGTCTCCACCTGTTGCATACTTGGGGGATTTTTATTAGGGATAATGTTCTTGTAGTCACAAAAGCTACTAGCCTGAGAATAGGCTGCCATATGCCTCCAGATTCTTAAAAATTGGATTATGGGGTTGATGAGTAAAATGATAACTCTGTTTATTAATGATGTCAAAACTTGAGGGAAAATGATTGGAAATGATAACTCTGTTCTGTCATAGTTTATTAATGATGACTAAAAGATGAGCAAGAGGAAGTAAAACACTTGTTCAAAACCAAAAATGATATGATCTATGTTTTGGAACATCATGAATGTATCCCTGTTTACTAAATTCTGCATAAATAAAGAAGCACTCTGGCTTCTAGTCTGTCATGCTGCAAGATTCTCACCACCACCATGGCCTGGCTCACCTCTGTCCCCCACCAACTTCTTACGTCCTCTGCTGGGGCCTGCCTGTCTCAGGGGATGGCTCAAGGCACTCCACCACAGATTTTTTCAGAGCCAGCTCATATTTTTCCTGTGCTGCCCTAGAGCTGAGCATTCCTTCTGAAGCTCTGTTTCCTTTCAGTGCACGGTTGTACTTATAGTAATAATATCACACTGAGTACATTTATTGCTTCAAGGTGAAACAGTGTCTTCTAGAACATGATGGGGTCTTGAACTGAAGGAGTCACAGCAGCTCTGGCTGTCTATAGAAAACATGCATAAAGCCGAGCAGTGGTGATGCTCACCTTTAATCCCAGCCCTTGGGATGCAGAGACAGATGGATTTCTGAGTTTGAGGCTAGCCTAGACTACAGAGCAAGTTCCAGGACAACTAGAGCTACAGAGATAAACCCTGTCTCAAAAACAAAAACAGAAAACCTGCATGAAATTCTACCATGGATGGGTGAAAGGCTCAGGAAGCCCCATGCTAACTTAGGAGTTATGAGCAGTTGATGACTGCTGGGGGAGAGAGGGCTGGTTTTCTTCAGTGATATGGCCCTGGTAATCTACCCAGACTCCACTAGATGGCCTTATGCCCATGCCCAAATGACCTGCAATAACTTGACTCAATGAGGAAATGAGATTGGGAAGAGAACAGAGCTGGGGGGCGGGGTGGAGGAGAAGGAGGAAAGAGTAGGGATTATACATCGTCAAAAACACATGACATATATGAAATTCTCAAAGAATGAATACACATATATATTAAAAATACACAAGGGTTTTATAACTTTCTAAACTATCAATGGGGGATTTGTCTCTTTTTGCAAACTCCAAGCAGCCTAACTTACTTTACCAATAGGCCGAAATTGGCAATAAGTAGAGAGATTATGTCTGAGTTTCATTAAACAGTAAAGATGATATAAAATGGCACCAAGAAAGCAATGCCAACCTTCAAAAACTCACACTCTGTGGACTCTCCCTTACCAGGGCCTAATTAATTCTTCTTAGTAGGGACCTGAACTCTAAGAGTGAAAGATACCTCTGTCAACAACCCTGGGTTTCAAGTGATCTGTCCTATTTGTCTGTCTTAGTTTCAACCTCCCTTGGAGAGGTCTTTTCAGGGTAAAGCAGCAGGCTGGTAAAGTCTTTCCCACCCATACCTCTATCTGACCTGAAACAATGTCCTTCAGTCTTAAACAAAGCAGCCCATGTGATGTGTTGAATGCTGTTGGCTTCTCTTGTAAGTCTGGCTGGAGAGTGCTAAGTCCTCTCTCACAAGCCCTGTGATGTCCCCACCCTCTGCAATAGCCTGGGAAGTTCCCGATTTTCACCAGAGAACTTAGGAGGAGTTAGCTTGATAAAAGAGCAGTGTTTAGGAAGATGAAAGTGAAAGTAAAAACACGGTCAGCTATCGCCAGTAGTCTAAGGTGGAGTCATCTTTGTGGATTCCTGGGAACTTCCCTAGCACTCTGTTTCTCCCTGTTCCTGTAATGTCTTCATTTATCATGGTATCTCTTTCCTTGCTCTCCCACTCTGTCACTGTTCCAGCTCGAACTTCCTGTTCCCTTAAGTTCTCATCCCCCATCCCTTGCCCTCCATTACCCCTTCTCACCCCCAGTTTGCTCATGTAGATCTCATCTATTTCTCCTTCACTGGGCGATCCATGTGTCCTTCCTAGGGTCCCCTCTGCTAGCTAGCCTCCCTGGAGCTGTGGGTTGCAGTCAGGTTATCCTTTGCTTTACATCTAGTATCCACTTATGAGTGAGTACATATCATGTTTGTCCTTCTGAGTTTGGGATTCCTCACTCAGGATGAACTGGCCTACTCTGGTGATCAGATGGCTGAATATCCTAACTGTCATCCTAGAGGCCTCATCCAGTGACTGATGGAAGCAGATGCAGAGATCCAAGTCCAGGTACAAGGCCAAGCTCCAGGAGTCCAGTGGATGGGAGAGGAGGGATTCTATGAGCAAGGGACATCAAGATCATGATGGAAAAATATACAGAGAAGAGTAGCCAAACTAGTGGAAATGCATGAACTGTGGACCAATAGCTGAGGAGTCCCCGTGGTACTGGACTAGGCCCTCTGCATAGGTGAGACAGTTGTTTAGCTTGAACTGTTGGGGGGGGCAGTCAATGGGTTTGGGGCCCATCCTTGGTGCATGAGCCAGCTTTTTGGAGCCTAGTACCTGTGGTGGGACACTTTACCTAGTCTTTGTGCAGGGAGGAGGGGCTTGGAGGAAGAAGGGTTCGAGGAAGAGGGGCCTCATCTGAATGTACCAGGCTCTGCTGATTCCCCATGGGAGACCTTGCCTTGGAGGAGGTGGGAAATGGGGGTGGGTTGGTAGGGAAAGCTAGGGGGCTGGAGGAGGGAGGAGAGGGGAATCTGTGGTTGGTATGTAAAATGAATCAAAAATCTCTTAATAATAAAAAAATAAAAACTTTATATTAAAAAAGAAAGTAAAAACACTGAACAGGAAGAAACTACTCAACCACTTGACAGGAGTGAGGGGTATGATGATGGCAAGGCCTCAGGAGATTTGTCAACTAGAGACTAATAAACGGTGCAGTTTAACTCCAGAGTCTTTGTGGACGTTTAGGAATCTAAGGTGATGCATTTACTGAAGAGGGCGTGGTTCTGAAGTCACTCCCTGCCACCTTTCTGTCCTGTTTTGGTCTGTTAGTGTGTGTTTTGTGAGATGCCTGCTCCGCTGAGCTGCATAAAGGCAGCAAGAGATTGTGCAGTTCAGAGTAGAACATGAATTTGTTTAAAATTTGTTTCTCTATACTGTGAAAGAATAAACATGGAAAGAAAAAAAGGTAGAGTTAGAAGGAACAGTGAGGAAGGAGGGGGAAGGACAGAGAGGGGGAAGGAGAGAGAGGGAGGAAAGGAGGAACAGAGAAAGTATTACTGAAAGTGAAAGTGAGTCTGAGTTCTTTTAAACATATCAAATGCTGGGAACTCAGCTGGTTTGTTTTCCTTTTGGACTAGTAAAATCTGTTAACATTATGCAAGCCCCAAGCAATTTATCACCACTAGAATATTTGTCAACAATGTGGCGCTTAAGGGTAAACACAAAGGATTTTTGTGCTTATGTCTAAGCTTAGGGGTTTCCAGTGTCTGCACAGCATATGTGATCCTAAGCTCTGGGGCGGGTTCTCCAGTCTTCTTTGGAGCATATTTCCTTTGAGACAAGTGAGCCAGAGTCCTTTTCTAAACCCTGAGTGTAAACAACATCTCCAAGGCCTATGCAAGCCACTGCCAGCTCTAAACCTCTGAGATGTCTGTGAGCCTCTGGACTGTCCCAGCAGTCTGGGAATGACCATTGTATTGACAAGCCTCACTGGGGCTGTGAACAGCATCTGAAATGGTGGTTTGAAGTTTGGGAGACATCTAATTAACCCTCATGCTGATCTACCCACTGACCAGCACTTAAAACCTTCCATCTGACCTAACACAAATCTGACAATAGGTCCACTTCTTAATTTTCTACCTACAAGTGTTGAGCCATTTCGACAAGCCCACATGATACCGAAGGCGAAAAACCAGTAGCCTTCTTGAGAGTCAGCCCCCATCTCAAGGTATCTACTGACCTGTAGATGAACCCAGAAGCTGACCAGTAATTTAGAGCTGACCTATAGATGAACCTGAAGTTGACTAGTAGGTAAACTTAGAGTTGACAAGTGACTGAACTAGAACAATATTTTCTGAATGTATATATCCTGGACCCAGTGAAACAGGATATAGGAAGTAAAAATTTACGTCTCTGTAGATACCCTGCATCCTGTCAGCCATTAGCAATTTCATGCTTATAGTTCTACCAATAACTTTAAAAAACTGCCTCATCTCTAGCTCCCCCATCCAATTCCAAGATGACAGGATATGTAAACCACTGCATGTAAACTTTCCTGTATAAGTCCCTTGTAATAAGTGCTCAGGACCTTCCTCCATCACCTGCTGAAATGAAGTGTCAGATGAGGTTCCTGCCAGGGCTTGACTTAAATAAACCTTTTCTCTTTGCATCAAAAGTTGGCTCCTTGGTGCTCTTGCCTAGGGACTCTTGACATGGCCATAACAGTACCAGTGTGTACTCATAAGTATATCGAGGAAACACTATACCACCTCCATTATTCTATAAGTTAATGTATCATCAGAATTTTGTCTACCAAAGCCCTGGGTTTGATGACAGCACCAGCAAAAGAATTATACAGAAAGCGTTTTTGTGTTTCTATATCCCATGAGAGTGGTGAGATCCATAACTTCAACATTTTCTTTGTGTGGTGCTTTTCTTTTGAATGTTTAGATGCAGAACCAATGCCCTCATCACTGGGAGACTATCACAGCTAAGTCTTCAAATTAACTCCCTTCTCATTGATATTTAGGAGAGGCTTCTGTTACTTTATGAACAATGTACAGCACACATTTGAAACAATTATAGTAGGCTGATCATTTTTAACAGATTTCACTTAACCTATGCTTCTGCTTTATTGTAGAAGGCATTTATGTCAGAGACTTGCAAATTATGTCATAGTAGTGCAACACAGATCAAAATGGAGATGATTTTCAGGACAGATGGGACTGTGGTCATGATCCTTGGAAGAATAGAAAGGAATTTATTTTGAGTTCTCCATTCTATGATTGTAGAAGTCATTCTAAAACTGTAAGAAGGAAAATCTTTTAAAATATTAAAAAGAGGGAGATTAGAAAAGAAATATGGTTGGCTGGAACATGATTCAAGTCAAGAAGAACTCTCAACAGGGGAAGAGAAACTTCCACTGTATTCTGCATGGAAAGAAATTTTCTCTCCCACTTTCCAGTGGTCTTTCTCTGATCATCCAGCAGGTATACAGCCTTCCCACATTGAGAAATGCCCAGTGTCTACACTTGGAACAAATATCAGGGCCCACACTTCCCTTGTCTGTAGACATCATGAAGTCCCAGGAGCACAGAATAGTTGTGGGTCTCCACTGTGTCCTATGGGTATGTTCATATTTTTCTCATGTTTGCAACATGCCAATCTCAGTTTACGACAAAGATAAATCTTTTAATTGCTTATGAGAATGCAGCTAAGAATATCTAGAAGGGTGTGTGTGATACAAAAAGGTCTACCCAAAGAGACTTGCCATATCACCGTGCTATAAAAAATTCCAATGATACAATTTAATATCTCTATGGAGTCCATGTTTATAATTTCAAATATAAGATCCAATTAAAGATCACATTGCTCTTTAGTTCTAACATAAACATTAACTGAATCACTTCATAAGCAAAATGTTATTTTTATACTTAAACTTCACTTTGTTAATTTTATTTCCACCCTCCTCCCAGTAAAGCACCATGCTTTCAAGGGTAGTTCATCATCAAATTGCTTCACAGTCCAAAGTTGACCCCGCAGAAAATTCCTTAATGAGTCAGACCTGGGTACAAAGGTTTAGTTGGATTGAATTTTAGAGTATGGTGCATTGTGGCTTCATTTTCTTGATTTCCTCCATCTCTTGAAGAAGTTTCCTGCTCTCATTCGAAAATCCTTCCTTGAGAAGCCTTTCCTGTTCCTAAAACGGAGATGGAGACTGAACTCAGACAGCTTTCCATGTTCCTCTGAGAGTCTCACAGACTTTCCTTTGACAGTTAGACCTATCCCTGGGGGAATTTTGACAGTTTTCTCAAAATCTTTTTCCTTCCTTGACTTACATAATTTCTCTCCCCTGTCTCTGACATATAACATTAAATTTCTGTGCTTTCTCCAGTTTTAGAAATGTTGTCTAATGATTCCTAAAACACAAGTGGCCTACAACTCTCAAGTCCAATTCTTGGATCCTTTGACTCAGGTAAAACACAATTTTCTATAAAGTCAACACCAGCTACCCTCTTCTTTCTTGCCTCATCTTGATCTGTGTCTTGTGGACTCTCAAACACATCTAAAAAGTGATAAAGATGTGAGCAAGCCAAGTAAATGTCACTGCCTGATTCAGAATTAGTGTAAGCATTCAATCAAGGAATTTAGGACATGTCCAAAATTTTTAGTGTCCAAGACAGGAGACAGAAATATATTGAAGCAACTGGGTCCTCAGTGCTCACATGCCATGTTATTGCCAATTCTGGAGCTTAGGTACAGAAATGTAGAGATGCCCAGAAAACAGGATGTTCCTGGCCATGTGAGTATTTATCCATTTTTCATGAAAGTTTGGGACTGTCTCTACTCTTTAGGATGATTCCAAAGATAAGGTCATCCTAGGTGTGGCAGGAAAAAAATGTCTATAAGTCCCATTCAGTAAAAAAGATACGAGTTGAATATTATATCATATAGATTGATGCAAAAAGTCATTTTACATGTAGAAAGTACAACTTCTCTGTCTAGCACATGAGAAAAAAAAATAGTCCTTCATAGGTTAGTTGAAGTTTTGGTCACAGAAATCCTACAAAACACATGAAGAGAATCTGTGATTCAAAACTACTGTTTAATAGAGATACCCTGATAAAGGATTTCATTCAGCAGTAGGCAATCTTAAAGAGCCAGAGGAGGATCCGAGAAAAAGCAGTGAGGGATGAGAATATAGTAGAGAATGTGAACGATTTGCTCTACTTTGGAGGATTTTGTGTTATTACCCTTGTATTTGAGGGGTGGGGGGACACAGATTCTCCATTCACAATCCACTCAAGCCTTGGCCTTGTGAACCCAAGACCTAAGGCTCCTGACATATGCTGTTGATTGGGTTGCAGAAACTGAAAATTAAACTGATGCAACCAGGTACCTTAAGTTTAAGGGATATGATTCTTTCTTGTTCTGCCTTCATCTCCTCCCGTTCCTTCTCCATCTTCTCAGTCATCTGTTTCACATGCTCCTGGTAACTCTTGTCCTTCTCTTCCATCATCAGTTCATGCTTCTTTTGCATTTCCTTCAATTCTCTGTTTGCAGCCTCTGCAGCTTCAGCCTTTATACGTTCCGCTGACAAAAGAAAAAGCAAAGAACACATCAAGTGAAATCTATTAGTTGCTTTTTGTCTTTTACCACCTTAGGAAAATAATCCTGTAATTGACAGAAGTTTCCTGTGGAATCTTTGCCTTATTAAATTAATGAGGAAGGAGATGGCCACATCTAACAGTTTAAAACAGCCATCATGATGCTATAAGTGACATTTGTCATTCTCTACAATGATAACCTCATATGGATCAATATTGCAGCACATGGCAATAATTTCCAACATCTGGGATCTTCTTAGCAGCTCTCACCTTCAATCTCCTTTTCTTTTTCTGTGAGTGACTGATCCGTCTTTAGAAGTGTTTCAGCCACATCGTTCTTGGACTCAACGTACTTTTTCAGCATCTCTTCAGCCTGGATGTTGAAAGGAGTTATAATGAGTTAACAAGAGTGTGAGTTGAAGATAATTTCTTAATTCAAAATAATGCTATCAGCTATGAACAAATACTTTGTGGTTCAAACAGTATTTCAAGTTTAAGGTTTTAAAATCAACCTGAGGTCCCCTCAGACTCGATCGTTTCCAATTATTCAAGCTTTACTAACAGGTGACTCCATTCATCTAGCTGTATCTTTGATATCTTCTTCTCCTCAAAGTATTTATTCAATATGTTACCATCAGCTAATAATGTTGATTTGGGCTTCAAAATGTAATCTTTGTTCAATAGAAAAAAATTTGTCATACAATATACTCTGATTACACAGTCTCTTCCCCCAACTCCTCCCAGGTCCTCCTCACCTTCTTACCCACCCAAGTCCCACCTTTTCATTCTCTCCCTCTTTATAAAACCAACAGCTAAACAAAAACCAACCCATAAAAAGAAATAAGAAAATGAAAACCAGGAAACTGACACACACAAAACAAAACCCACTAAAACACAAAGGTGGAAATCATAATATATAAGCAAAAGTCCAATAAGACAAAAAAAAGTGCCCAAACAAAGCAATATGAGACAAAAAGTTTACAATGATACCACTGAGTTTGTTGTGTGTTAGCTATGTACTTCCCGGCATGGGGCCTTCCCTGAAGTGTTAACCTGGAACTTTTGCTTGTCATCTCCTCCATCTAAACCTGCTGGTCTGAGACCTTCCCTCCTGCCAGAAAGACTGCTACAGATCACTCTCAGAGCATCCAGAATATTGTCATAATAGTTTGAGAAGGGGTATTGTGGTGATTTGAATGAGAATGACCCCCATGGGCTCGTGTGTTTTGATGCTTAGTCACCAGAGAGTGAAGCTGTTTGAGAAGGATTAGGAGGTCTGGCTTTGTTGGAGTAGATGTGGCCTTGATGGAGGGAGTGTGTCACTGGGAGCTTGCTTTGAGGTTTGAAAAGCTCATGCTAAGTCCAGTATCTGCCTCTCTTGGGCTGCTGCCTGCAGCTCAGGAGCTAAAGCTCTCAGCTACTTTTCCCACACTAAGCCTGCCTGTGTGTCATTATACTCATCATCATGATAATAGTGGACTAACCCCCTAAACTGTAAGCTGGCCCCAAATTAAATGTTTCCTTAAGACTTCCTTGGTCATAATGTCCCTTCACATCAACAGAACAGTAGCTAAGCCAGTGATGCTTAAAACCTCTACTGACTTTCTAACTTATCCAAATAAACATCAGGTCTTTTTGCATGTTCTCCAAGACATCCACTGACTTGTCTGACCTCTAGCCTGTCATTTTATGTCTTGATAATGTTTTCTTTGCCACTGACTAAACAGAACTTTAAAAAAGCATCAATTTATTCTTCATGGAATTTTTCTGGTTTCTGATATTTCCATTTCCTTCATAACCATTTGTCTCTCTAACTTCTTTGAAGACTCAGCTGACTTTCTTGTTGTCTGATATCATGGGTAAAATACAGTGTTTTGTATAAATTATTCTTTGTTCAGGAGGGGTAGGATTAAATTTTAGTCAAAATCACATAATCATATAATCACTAGCAGTGGCTTTAGAGCATGAATATAGGCTGGAAAAGGGAACCATGTGGTAAGGTCCTTGAGTACAACAAAGGAAAAAGCCTTGAACCCAGAACATGATCAAGTCATTGGAGTAGCAGGGTTCTTTCTTCCTTACTTCTTGTATACAAAAGGAAAGAAATATTTAGCCTTTTAAAGCCATCAAAGTTTGAAAATTTTATGTGCCTAAATCTAACCTGGCCCTCTCTTGTCTAAGCAGGGTAGTTTAGAGCCATTAAAGGCAAAAGCTCTGTAACCTGTATTTTCATTCAGGCTGTAATATTCATTGACTATGTGATCTTGAGTGAGGTCTTAACTTCTATCTGCCACAATTCCCTTTTCTCTTTTTTTTTTTTTTTTTTGGTTTTTCGAGACAGGGTTTCTCTGTGTAGCTTTGCGCCTCTCCTGGAACTCACTTGGTAGCCCAGACTGGCCTCGAACTCACAGAGATCCGCCTGGCTCTGCCTCCCGAGTGCTGGGATTAAAGGCGTGCGCCACCACCGCCCGGCCTCCCTTTTCTCTTAATGAGATAATAATAATAAATACTTGGTAGAATTGGTGTCAGAATTCAGAGAATTAACTTCTAGAAAACAGTGAGGACAATCTATGATGTCAACTGCTACTACTACCATTATTACTAGGCTGTGAACTAACTGTACCGAGGGGTTGTGATTGAGAACTTACTAGCTACCTTTGGTTTGGTTTCTTTATTCCTTAAATTACAGTAATCCTAGCACCCTGAGAAGTACTAGAAACATGGGGATAAGTAAATCACTGTTGGATGATGAGATAGATAAGTGAGGGGATGAATGAATTCCACAGCATTTCTGAGAGGTCCAATTATACTCACAAAGAAGAAGCTGCTGTCTGTACCATGATTGGCTCTCTACCTGGATGAATGTAAGACAAGGACACTATCCACCAACATAATTGTATTGTCCTTGTTCTCACTAGCATCTGATGGAGATTCCACACCAAAACTCCCCAGTATGGTACCAACTACCTCAGTTTACCTGGAGCCCTTTTCCAGGAGCCTGATTATACTTTTTCTCCAGCTCTTGTTTCTTTTGAAGAAAGTGGTAGTAACCTCCTGGTTTAGAAAATGTCCCCTTCTTCACTTCTTTTTCCAGAGGACCAAAGATCTCCTCCAGCAAATCTGAGCAACGAGCTGATGACACGTCCATGTTCTTCTTAACAAAGGCATCCAGCTTGGCGTCCAGCTTGTCCTGGGGGAGGACAAAGTCACACAGATGGTTGAGAGGAGGGAGATAACACAACAGACTACTGAAGAATGTCTAAATGGGGCCACGTTCTTCACCCCTCTGTAAGAGCTCATGGTGTCCCTACAGAAACTAGCCCTTTAGTTTATAATTTGCTGAAGGCATCTCTTTGTTCCCCTCCTGCTGCCCATCTTCCTGATTTAGGAAGTAATTATCAAAACACATATACTACTCCATAGGAAACCTTTGTCTTGTCAAGCCTCTAACTTTAGGGATAGCTTAGATCATGTTCCTGTGGACTTCCTGAACCCAAGACTCTGTTCTTTTGTGATCTTAGCATTCATGGACCAGTGATTCCTTGTCTCTGAAACAGGATGAGCAACACCAATTTCAGAGGTTTTTAGTCAGATTATGAGGTAACACAGAGTACAAAGGCTAGAGAATTCACTAGCAATACTCAACAAAAGAATAAATACTTTTTGATATTATAATATTTTGTCTGTTTTTTGTCACTGTGGTACTAAAGAAAGATGAAGATTATATTGATGGGCATTTCAACACTTAGGAAGCATAATGAATTGAATATCTACATGTATTACTTCCTGAAAGTAATCTATATATGAAGATGCCTGTTTCCTACTGACATTGACCATCTAGCTTTACTAGAACTTTTGACCTGAAGAATCATTACTGACTATCAATATATTATCAATAATAAAATCTGACCTTGCTAATCAGGTAGTATCATCACTGATCTTTTATAATAAAAATTTTTATAATAAACAGAATGAAATTTTGTGGGAAATGTGGTTAATTATAGTGCTATCTTATGATTAAAATCCAGCAGAATCTAACATTTCAATAACCATTGTAAACCTGTGCACATCTCTCCATTTCACTATGTTGGAGACTAAGGACAATACTCATCCCAGAAAAGGCACATGTTTTTCTCTGTCTCGTGATTTTGGGTACCACACTTACCCTTAATTCCTTCTGGAACTTTTGGTCTACATCCTTGAAAGAATTCTTCATGAAGACCTCAATGGCCTCACTCTCAATAGGCCTGTGCAGGTCCAGCAGCTCTTGGAGAGTTTCTGTGGGCAGCTGAACCTTCTGGTTCATCTGTTCTTCATAGTGCTCAATGGCCTTTTGCACTGCAGCTGAGTTCTCTATCTGGGCCAAAGTCAGGACAGCACTCTCTATGCAGGGTAGTTCTCCACTTCTGATGGCATTGACATAGGTCAGCACCAGGCTCTGTAGACCTACATGAAGGAGTTTAAATATGACTATTAATTGATAGACAGAGCACATAGTTTTCAATTCAGTTTTCAGGATTTTCTGAGAAAGAACTCCTCTAGATTCAAAGGAGATTGAAACCCATTTTTACTGCTTCTACATTTAACCCAGAGATAGACTTTGTATCAAATCAATCAGGGCAGTTTTTCGATGGCCTGAGATACTATGTCAATCTTTTTTTCAATCTTCTTTTTCTATTCCTTTCTCATTAAATGACCAAAGAGAAAACTTTCTGCTCCCACTCTTCTTTTTTGTTGTTGTTGGGTGTTTTTTGTTGCCCTTCCTTCCTTCCTTCCTTCCTTCCTTCCTTCCTTCCTTCCTCCTTCCTCCCTCCCTTCCTTCCCTCCTTCCTCCCATTTTTTTTTAGTGGTGCATGCTAGTAGCCCTATTTCTACACAATGTAAATGGGTCTATGCAGAATTTTTTTTTTTTTTTTTTTTTTTTTTTTTTTTTTTTTTTTACAAAAGCTGTAAACTAACTAAGACATCTAGGTTCCCCACATCTTTGCTGTTCGTAGGCCTGAAAGCACCACATCCCAGGAACCAGTTATCAGGCAAATCAGAGCAGCTTTAGGTCCTTCCTGTGCAAGACTTCTCTATGAGTCCACCCTGCACTTTTTTGTTTCTATAGTTGGTATGAATCATGGATTTTCTTCTTTTTCTTACATTTCCATTTACATGTTGACATGACATATGTGTGTTCATTTATTACTTGTTTGTTTGTTGAAACAGTCTGAAGTTTCTCTGACTTCCCTTAACCTTGATACATAGCCAGTGATGACATTGTATTTCTGTTTCTGATTCTCTTGCCTCTAACCCTGCAAAACTAAGATTACAGGTTTTCACAGCCATAATAGTTTATGAGATATTGGAATCAAATCAAGAAGTTTTTGAATCTTAGTAAACCCTTCTACTATCTGACCAATATTCTTGGTCAGGAACGGCATTTATGCATGTTGTTCCTTATTATGAATATCAGGGGAAAATCCACATTGAATTATTCAAAACAAATAACTTCACCCACTCCAAAAAACAAATTTTTCCTCCCGATACTACTATCTCAATAAACAATACAACATTAAAGAAGTGCTGAGTTTCAATCTCAGGGGACATATTTAGAGATACTTATTAGTCCTATCATACTCTCATATTTCAATATAATGAAAAATTTTGGATTTGACATCAAAATATAATAGCTTCCATCTCACTCTGACAATTTCTAATTACATAATTTTAGCCTAACCCAATGACCATTTAATTCTACTCCATTAAACAGAGAGTTCATCTTCTCAATCTCTCCCTTTTGGAACTGCAAAGTATTACGCATTATATATATATATATATATATATATATATATATATATATATATATATATATATATATATAAATCATAGTCCTTCCCACAAACCTTGGAACCAGCTGAAAATTCCTTAAGTCATGTTTCTGTTCTATCAAGACATCACTGCTCCATCCTGGCTATAGTTCCACACTTCTCCAATGAGAGACACTCTCATGCATTCTCTTCTTTTAGTCACATAACTCTTTCTTTCCTGAAGTTGAAAAGCTGTGTCCTGTCTTAGGCCTTACTCTATTGTATTAGTTCTTCATGTTATTTTTTGGTGACTTTCAGGTAACTTCTTCATTAGTAGGGAACCATGAGCAAAGAGAAATTTTTTCTAGGGCTTCATTAGATTCCAAAGACCCCTCCTCCATGCTATTACAGATATGAGATTATGAGAAATAGATTTAGTTCCCAAGTAAATTTCATCACTACATTTTCAACAACATCAGCTAATGGTGTTTGGTCTGGCTGGAAGTGGCTCCCTCAGTATCCCACAATGAGCAGAACAGAAGCCCAGGTAGGAAGTAGAGGGGATGACTTACGTGGCCCGTTGACTAAGATGCCACCAGACAGGGTCTTGACACCAGAAGAGCTGAAGATGTATGAGGTGAATTTTGCAACTTGTTCTACAAAATCTTCACTTAGCTCTTCTTCTGCAACTGTTTCTAGTTTAGAAAGTTGCTTTGTTGGAGCAGGCCTTTCGAAGACGAAGCACTTCCTCTTTGGGAAGTACTTCCTGATGCATAGCCGAGGCTCATTAAACCTTTTAGTTTTCTTATCAGTTCCTTAAGGAAGGATAAGTTAGATACAGGAAACTTCAAATTAATCACTTAAAATACATGACCCTTCAATATTATAACTTTCCCAAAGCAAGGAGGAAAATCACAAGGTGGAATGAGCAATTCAAAAATTAAAGGAATGGGAAAGAAAACACTCTTTCTCTAAGAAGCTGTGCATGGTATAGTTCAAATTCAGCCAAGCTGTGTTTTCATTTCCTATAACAGCAGTGAGGATAGCACAATTATAGGATCAAGAACTTTACCAGGAATGCAGAAGAGACCTTTATGCTATTGATATCATGGTAACTCAAACTTCCTTGAACACACTCACCTTTTCTCAGAGCCAGTGAGCTCTCGAGGTAGTCATCAGGAGTGATAGAATCTTCATTAGCTTCCAGCTGCAGGAAGAAATCCCTCAGAGTCCACACAAAGGTTGGAAAGAAGCCCACAAAGTTAGCTGAGTCATCTTCGTCACTCCGCTCAGGTGATGACTTTGATTTGATTAGGTTAGTCAGCTCTGTCACATATCTGCCATCCTAAGTTAAGAAAACTACAGGAAAATGACATTTTTATGCTATAGATTCCACCACTAGCCCTCCAAACTAACTTTTATTTATTTGTTAGCTTATTCATTTTCAAAATTCACTCAGTCACAGACATCTATTTAATATTATCTATGGAACAAGCGCCCTCCTGGGGGGAAAAAATTAGAATTAGTGAGAGAATGACAATACACAGAGTTTATGTCTAACTGAAAGAGACAGACAATAAATAGGTGAATAAAGTACAAAAATATCCTCAGATATTGCTATGAATTATGATGCACAAAAATGAACTGGTGACCCATGAAATAGTAAATCAATGCACACATCTTCATGGGGAGCTTTCTCTTGGAGTTCTTCATAGAGCTACTAGTGCTCTCTGAGATCCTAGGTTATCAGGAATCCAAACAATCAACAGATCCAACCATGGGAAGTATAGTGGAAGAACATTACAAACAGAGGTCACAAAACTTTTAAGCCCTTAAACAGGAAATCATGATTATATGGTGAGTTTAAAGGGGCAAAAGTTCCAAAAGACAGACATGTAGGACATTTAAGTTAGACAGACCCAAGTCTTCAGTTTGATTTACACTAAATGGAAGGCACTGGGAGACTTTATGTAGACAAGATATGATACAGCATAATTTCTGAAGAAAACACTGGTTGGGAATGTACCTGGGAATCAAAATTATAAGCAAAGTATAATATGGCAGTTGACATGTCCAAGACAAGAGACAAAAAGAGCTTAGACTAGAGTTTTTTGTAGAAGATATGTAGAAAATATGTCAGTTTAGGGAAATAGGTTTCCTAATGAAACTCAAAACTTTTGTGGAATAATGATTTCTAGTGTATGAGAAAACGGTTATATCAAATAGTGATTTCTATGTTTTAAATCGGAGAAATTTTGCAAATGGTGGGAAATTTTAGTGCAATAAGAAACATGGAGGAAGGAGAGGTTTTGTAATTTTTGAATTTGAATTGTCTCTAAGATATCTACATGAATACAGTTAAATGTAAAAGATGGAATGTCATCATAACTATAAACTTGATGGCAACTGTCACACAGGTGTTTCATAGGCCTTGAGTCTAAATGGCAGCACCTAGAGACACAAAGTAACACAAAGATAGCAGAGGCACAGCAACTAATGAGTTACACACTTAGAGGCCACAAAAAGAAGAGAACACAAACAGAAAAAGTTTGCTGATGTGATAGGTAGAACACCAGAAAACTTTGAAACTCTACATCTAAGATCCAAGTCATGAAGAAAGGAGGAAGAGCTCAGTTTATGGTGTCTGCTAAGAGATCAAATAATACAATTGCCTACTAGATAAGGAGTTAACTGAGCTCGATATTTGATGTTAAGGCCATGGAAATGGAGCAAGCGGTGATAAGGACATAGATGAAGGCCTAAGGATGGAAACAATCAAAGAAGGTGAGGGAACAGGGATACCCCATGTACATGAGTGTCTTCTGGTTTCTAGTCTTTAGAAGTTAGTCAATTTTAAAATTTTTGCCAAAAAAATGTTGTGGTGACTGGTTGATTAAAAAAAAAAAAGACTGGGCATAAAGATGCCATGCTCTGAGTGTCCATACTTCAGACACTCTGCTCTTCTTTTATTGAGGTAAGAACGAGAAATAGCTGCAGAGTCTAATATAGGAGAAAGAAGCATGCTTGTCTCTTCTAGAGTTCAATAACATGCAAAGTGTGAGCTCAAACAAACAAACAAAAACAGACATACAAACAAACAACGTCTCAGAGCACCTGAGAGATTTGCAGCTGTTACCTGCAGCACATAGATGGGTAGTTAAATGGTAATACTTAGAGGAGCTGATGGGAATGATGATTTCCAGGGACAGAAATTTTAACTGATGTTGAAGAGCTGAACATACATAGGATATTAATCCAGACAGGGATTTTCTGAGCAGTATGTAGCTGATTTTTAAGGCCATATGGGCCAGGAAAGCTTGAACTTGTGATGGAGACTAAGGTAAACTCAGATGGTAAGGAGAAAAGGGTTATCTAAATCCCTCAGTCCTTACCTGCCAGTCTATCTGAGGAAATAAGAAGCTGCACTTCCTAGGTTTAGTACTGTTCTAGACACACTGAAAGGATACTGTAGTTGGTCCATGGCCTGCTGGTTGATGGTTCCTATGCTGTTGTAGATGAAGGTGCTGCTGAGGAGGACTGCCAAGGCAAAGATCCAGCAGTCATTCTGGTTGTCCCCCTGCAGGTCAGTGAGTGAAGAAGAGTGACTAAGATACTGTCCAGTTATCTGGCTCCTATTAGCCATGGTATCAATAGTAAGTCATTTCTACTACATAATAACTTTCTACCTTATAATTATTATATGAATGTTCAATTCATGCTCTATAATTGAAATAAGATGATGTACACTCATGTATATGAGAGCATGAAGGACATTCACACTTACAGGTCATAATGTTGATCAGTTGCTAAAATCTAAACTGGCATGCTGGGTTTCACTCACAGAATATGTTATGGTAAGGGACTGTCTTAGCATTTCTAGTGCTGTGAAGAGACACCATGAGCACAGCAACTCTTATAAAGGAAAGTATATAATTGGGTGGCTTACAGTTCAGAGATTCAGTCCATTATCAAAATGGTGATACATGGCAGCATGCAGGCAGACATGATGCTGGAAAAGTAGCTGAGAGTTCTACATCTTATGCTAGCAACAGGAAGTGGTCCCTGACAATGGGTTTGGTTCGCATATATCAGACCTCAAAGCCTGCCTCCACAGTGACCCATTTCCTCCAACAAGGCCACACCTAATCCAAAAGCAACACCTCCTAACAGTGCCACTCCCTTTAGGGGTGCATTTTCTTTCAAACCATCACAGGGACATTTTAGCACTGGTGAAAATAAGGTCCTTTAATAGAGTTTTATGTCTCTCAGACTGGGAAGAATAGTAATGTGATCCTCCGTGAAAAATGATGTTATTGCAAAAATGTGGTGGTTTGAAAGGAGAATGGCCTCCATAGGCTCATATGTTTAAATGCTTCGTCACCACGGGTGGAGTGGAGAAGTTTGAAAGAAACAGAAGGATTAAAAGATGTGGTCTTAGCCGGGCGGTGGTGGCGCACGCCTTTAATCCCAGCACTCGGGAGGCAGAGCCAGGCAGATCTCTGTGAGTTCGAGGCCAGCCTGGGCTACCGAGTGAGTTCCAGGAAAGACGCAAAGCTACACAGAGAAACCCTGTCTCGAAAAACCAAAAAAAAAAAAAAAAAAAAAAAAAAAAAAGATGTGGTCTTGTTGTGTCACAGTTGGTGGGATTTTACGTTTCAAAAGTTCAATGCAGGACTAGTCTCTGTCTCTGTCTCTGTGTCTCTGTCTCTTTCTCTCTCTGTCTCTTTCTCTCTGTCTCTGTCCCTGTCTCTGTATCTCTGTCTCTCTGTCTCTCTCCCTGATGCTTATGGATCAGGATGTAGCTCTCAGGACTATTCCAGCACCATGCCTGCCATTTCTGCTGCCATGATGATAATAGACTAAGCCTCTGAAACTGTAAGCAAGGGCAGAGCTAAATGTCTTTTTTAAAAAATAGTAGTTGCCCTGGTCATGATGTCTGTTCACAAAAATAGAGCATTACCTAAATTTTCTTTTTCTCTCATTAATAATGTTGTATAGAAGTTACAATTCTTAGCATTCCCACAAGCTCACACCTAAGAATCAGACATGTTCAGAAAATGTATAGTCAAGTTTGGAGACACCATTAAGAGTCTCACCAAAGCTTTTTGTGATAATATAAAAGAAAAATGGCCAAAAGTATCGTCAGTTCTTATTCTGAAGGCTGATTGACTACTAATCAGTTGACTTTAGTGTCTACTTTTGCTTCCTATGTCAGGTGAGTTGAAGAATGACATACTGATTTGATTCACCAAGGTCATAAATAAAATTGAGAGTAAAGAATCCTAGGTGGGCTACTGATGCATCATGAGTGGAACTTGAAAGAGTATGTTGTACCTTCTCTATATCTCCCAGGCCCTCTGTGTCAAGTAGAACCAGGGTGTGTCCTGGATTCTGGGGATGAGGCACACACCACATCCAGATCCCCTTGGTGTGAGACTGCACCGTGGAGCCCAGAGAGAAGCCTGCAGAGTGGGGATGAAATGGGGAGATGAACAGCACATGCTTCATGAAATCTCATTGGAATTAACATATTTACCATTTACAGGAGGACAACCAGTTACAAAAATTGGTTTTAATTGCAAGCCTAGCAAAAGAGAGGGCAGAACATCCAATGCTGAACAATCATTCATTTCTACCTTAGATATCAGTGGACGCTTGCTCTTCCTACATGAACAGGCTAATAAATATTTCATAATTCAGCATAAAGTAAGTTGACTTTGTCTATGAACGTATTATTTCTTCTATCAAAACACACTTATACCTTTAAATGAGGCAGTAATGGGACTATGGGAGTAACCAGTGAGAAAACTAATTCAGAGAAGAAAAAGTCTTCTGATGGATACAAGCCATACCACATCACCTATATCTCTGATTTTCCTCCTCATCTCTGCTTGCTTGATACTGACAGTGCGAGTGGGCCGGGTGGACTCAGCAGAGCTTTGCTGGTGGCACTCACCATTCCGCTTTCCAGCCAGCTTGTTCATCAGGTAGGATTTTCCTGTGCGGTAGAGGCCCACTATTGCTACCACCACCACAGGCTGCTTGATAGCAGACAGGATATCCAGTGCTTCCTGGTTGGCTACCAATTGCTGGTCAATGTTCTCAATGAGGCACACTGGGCCCGGCATGTTGATTTCTGAAGCCATTTCTCTAGTACTCTTAAGTTTGCAAGAAACAGGATGAAACAGGAAAAAGTTCTGTGTAGGTTAGAAGAACTCAACTCAATGACATGGACCTTAGGTGCAATGGTGGCATGCATACCTTTTGGGGGAACCTGCCCAACTACCTGAGGGTAGCAAGGCCATGGATCTTGGAGGAGATCCAGCTACTGCCACTTACTAAACCAGCAAAATTCTTAACTGCATTTAAAATATTTATTCTTATACCATAGATAAATGCAGCTCTCATTCCTCATCAAAGAAACTTTTCATTGCAACAGATGGAGATCGTTACAAAAACTACAACCAATCAAAGCACAGAGAACAAATGATTATTTGGTAACCAGCCCCAGTTGATACATTTGTGACATAACTCCTGCACCTAAAACTCAGAGAACATCATGGACAAGGGGGAAAATGGGTGAAAAGATTTAAGACTCAGAAAAACATAAAGTCTGGTGTGACATTAAGGTTCCTAGAAATCTCAGGGAAGCTACAAAGTCTCAACAACTTAGCTGCCTAAACAAGACCCAAAGAAATATGACAGCAATAGCTAACATCAAAGGGGAAAAAAATTCATGATGCCTGAACTCTAAACAAAGCATTAGAGGCAAGTAAGGAATGCTGAGATTGGGATAGTCTTCCGCATGCAAGAACTGCCCAGATGGTTATCCAATACCAAGTGGTCAGTCCTGAAATCATATACATCCAAGTAACATTACAGAGATGAGCAGATTGTGTTTATATATTGAGGAATGTGTGTGTGTGTGTGTGTGTGTGTGTGTGTGTGTGTGTGTGTGTCTGTGTGTCTGTGTATGAAACAAGAATTAAAGAAAAAGAGGCCATGGATTTGAGAGAGATCAGGGGGTGATTCACTAGAAAGGTTGTTGGAGAGAGGAAGGGAAATAATATAACTATATCTTAATTTCAAAAATATTATTAAACATAACATGCAACAAAATGTTCTATACTTGGAATGTGTTCTTTGTATATTTTTAAATGTCCTAGAGGTGTTTATGGCTGTCCTAAATGTTAACTGCTTTCATTTAAAGCTGCTTTGATTTTAAAGTCCATAGATACCCAGGAGAGATGAACTGTTTTTGAGTTCTCACATAAGACTTTCCAAGTCTTAATGTTTTCTGAAATCACAATAAAATTGTAGAAACTAGAATTGAAACATTTTATAATATCTTAATGAACCTGCATACATTAGACCCCCATTTTTTAAACTCAGCTTTCAATTATTTTCTTTTTCCTTGCTGCATGATTTAATCCAGGCTCCCTCATTAATTACCAGTTGTCTCACTAGCTTCCTCTCATCTTCAGGGCTTTTATTCTTTAACATTGCTTGGGAATTTTAAAAGAGTGTAAGCATCATCTTGTAGAATACTGCTCACTTTTTGTTTTTCTTATGTCTGTCCAATTTTGGTTTGGGATGTGTTTATTAGTCTTATTTATTTGGCAAGAAGGTCACAGAATTGATACGCTGTCATCTTAGTTACGATTTCTATTGCTGTGATGAAACACCATGACCAAAAAGCAAATTGGGGAGGAAAGAGTTTATTTAGGTTACACTTCCACATTGCTTTTAATCACTGAAGGAAGTCAGAATAGGAACTCAAACAGAGAAGGATCTTGGAGGCAGGAGCTGATGCAGAGGCCATGGAGGGCTATTGCTTACTGAATTGCTTCTCCTGGCTTGCTCAGCCTGCTTTCTTAAGAACTCTGGACCACCAGCCAAGGGATGGCAGCATCCACAATGTTCTGGGCCCTCCCCCATTGATCACTAATTGAGAAGATGCCTTACAGCTGGATCTCATGGAGGCATTTCCTCAATGAGACTTGTTCCTTTCTGATGACTCTAGCTTGTGTCAAGTTGACACATAAAACCAGCCAATATGTCTACCCTCCTCAGTGATCAAAAGAAGGCTTTTGGCCATACAGTCTCCTGTAGTTGTTAATGGACTAAAGTTCCTACCAACAATTAGAAAATAATTCCCTTTGAGTGATGGCAACAGAGAAGCAGAGCCTCCTGCCCAGCCCTGCTTGGTAGGGCTGTGCCCTGGAGAGAGTCTGGAATGAGAAGGGGGAAACACTGGAGCTAGAAGGGGTGCAGCATGCCTGTGCGTTGCCTCAGAAATCGGCCCAGGAAAATGCTGGCCAATCCTTGAAACTGGTGTGACATTCCCTTAAGAGCAATGGACTCCTAGTCACAGGGTGGAGGAAGCAACGCAAGTCTGGTAAGGGAGTTCCTAGAAACCCTCAACAGTATGTGGAACTGGTGTGGGTTGGATTGGAGCAATGAGTTCCAAGCCACAGAGACAGTGGAATTAGAAGCAGAAGTTTGGTAAAGAAGTCCAGTGCAGTAAAGATGTCCAGAGATAAGAGATTTCAACATTCTCTACCCAAGTCCTGGCAAGGGGAGCTATATGGGTTCCAGAAAGTTTGAGACAGAACTTGCTCGTGTAGGATCCTGATACACAGACTAAGCAAAACACTGGGGATGGGTTCTACTCCAACCAGAAACTTTGACTGAGAATCTAGTGCCTTTCATTTTGTTTTATTTTTCATTTGTGCTTATATCTTTTTACTCTATAATTTATTATTACATTTTAAAATTTTATATCCACATATACAGATATAAAAGATAATAGATACATTTCTTTGGAATTTTTTTGTAACTTGATTACCTTCTGCACCCTCAGGTTGTATGTGTTGTAACTTGTATCTTGGGAAAAAAGTTGTGTCTTCTTTTCTCAAAATGTGATGTAGAACATTTTCTCTCTGCTTTTCATATGTGGTGTAGAACATTTTCTCTCTGCTTTTCATGTGTGATGTAGAACATCTTATCTCTGCTTTTCTTGTGTGAAACCTATTGCTTTTTACTCATTCTTACTCTATTTGCTATTAGCCCATTCACTGGTCACTATTTAAATACATTACATTTTCTCCAGGCAGGGTCCTGCACTGCTCTCTTAAATCCCCGTCATCAAGAACATAATGAACACAGTGTCTCTTCCTGCAAGGAACAAGGAAACATTCACAGTGGGTGCTACTTTTGCCCTTAATCTAAACCTAAGTCAAGACAAGCTACCAGAGATTCACATAAATTTTTAAAGTGGAAACAGAAAAAACACAAACCAGAGAAAACCTTCAATTGGTACAAGAGACAGAGACATCAGAATGACATCAGATCTGTGAGCAACTCCAAAATCCAAGGGAGCATGAAATGAAAGTGTTTCATGCCTTGACAGTAAATAATGGACATCCAAAAGTGCTACAGTTATCAATATTTCTGTTAAAAATGGTGGAAAATACAAGTGTTTCAAGACAAACACAAGTTCCACTAATTCATGGCAACTAAGCTGGAACAGCTGAAAATTCTTAAAGGAGTTCTATCACAGAGGAATAAGAGAAGAGGAAGAGGAGGAGGAAGAGCAGTTTCACAGAAGAGAACACACGAAGGAATTCATTCCATGGTAGCAGCAGATGAACAACAGACAAGTGGTAAGGAATTAATCATGTCCAGTCCTGCAAACCATGGAATATCCAATGTTATGGGAAGGAGAAAAGGCCTGTCAATCAACCTACAAACCAGAGCAGCAAACAAAATCATGTATAATATCAAACCCTTCTTAACTATGACCTTAAGTGAAAGGGCTTTGATCTGCAGATTAAAAGACAAAGACTGAATGATTGGACAAAATTAAAAAAACAGACAAACAAAAACAAAAACAAAAAAACCAAGCTCTAGCTGCTGGATAAGCAGCCCAGGTGGTTAAGAATACTTGTTACTCTTCCAGAGTTTGGGGGTTACCACTGCATTGATGTCAGGCAACTCACAATCATGTGCACCTCCAGCTCCAGGAGACCCAAAGCCCTCTTTAGCTTCTTTGGGAAAATGCATTCACACACACACACACACACACACACACACACACACACACACACATAAACATAAAAAATAAGAAAATTAATCTTTAAACCCAGAAATTCTAGATTTGTTCAACAAGCATCTTTGGAGGAACACTTCAGAACAGGCAGGACATTTCTGAACAAAATCCCACTATCGTGGGAATTGATCCCAAACATTCCAAATGAGATCACACAAAACTAAAATGCTTCTGCACACTGATAGAAACTAGTCACAGAGTGAACACACAGCCTACAGGATGGGAGAAACATACTTGCCAGCTGTACCTAAGAACATAATATCCAAGAAATAAAGAACTGTAAAAAATAAACATAAAAAAGAACACCAACAAAACTATGAATCCATAAATGGGCCAATGAACTGAACAGTCAATTCTCAAAAGTACAAAAGACCAAAAAATAATTTTGAAAGTGTTCAGCATCCTTAGCCATCAGAGAAATGTAAATTAAAACTACTTTGAAATTGATTGAGCCCACCAGTGCTGATTGGAGTAAGAGGTAAATCTTTGTCTAGGTTGTCCCCAGGGGCACAACCCTGTGCTCCCACACCACCAACCATTGCAGTCCCAGTTTCAGGCCAGTAGGCAGGCCTCCTACAGACAGGGCAGAATACCACCATCTCCCATTAGACCCTGTAACCCACAAGCCCCACCCCTCCCAAACCAACCCACCCTTCAAGTCTATAGCTACTCCCTCAGACAGAGCCTACCAGCGCTAATTGGACTAAGAGCTGCTCCCTGAGACAAAGGTCCATCAGCACCGATTAGACCAAGAATCCTGACTAGACCAAGAGCTCCCACTGGACCAAGAGTATGGATCAGACCAAGAGAGGCTCCCTCAGACACAGACACCGCTTGTACCAAGTGGAGACAGAGATGGGTAGATGCCAGTGCAAAAATACAGTCAACAACGTAAAAACCAATATGGCTCTATCAGAACCTACATCAGCAAGACCTGAACATCCCAACACAGAAGAAACAGAAGATATTGACCATAAAAATGACTTTAAGAAGATGATAGAGGTCTTTAAAGAGGAAACAGAGGAAAAATTCCCT